AGGAATAGAGAAAGAGCTGCTGAGAGAAAGAGAAAGAGAGAGAAAGAAAGAGAAGAATAGAAAGAGAGAGAGAAAGTGAGAAAAGAGAGAGAAAGAGAAAGAGAGAGAAAAGAGAAATGACGAGAAGAGAAAGACGGAGAGTGAGAAGAGAAAGAGAAGGAGAGAAAGAAGAGAGAGAAGAAGAAGAGAAATGAGAGAGAGGAGAAAGACGATGAGGGAGAGAAAGAAGAGAGAGAGAAGAGAGAGGAGAGAGAGAGAGTAGAGAGAGAGAGAGAGATGATGAGAGAAGAGAGAAGAGAGAGACTGCAGAGAGAGAGATGTAGACCGACTGAGCGACGCGAACCGAACGAGCCAGGAGGGAGAAGGACGACGATGAGATAATGAGAGGATGAGGACGAGAGAGAGGTCGAGAGAGGAGAGATGAGAGTAAGAGAGAGAGATGATGAATGAGAGGACTACGAGGAGGAGAAAAGAAGAGATAAGATAGAGAGACGAGAGGGAGAAGAGAGCACCGAGAGAGATGAGAGAGAGAAGACGAAGAGAGAGAGATGAGAAACGAGAGTGCAGTAGATGAGAGATCGAGAGAGATAGAGCAGAAGACGAGAGGAAAGAAGGAAAGAAGGAAAGATAAGAATCGCGGTAAGAAGGAAAGAAGGATAAGAAGGAAAAAAGGAAAGAAGGAGAAGGGAGAGGCGATGGGAGAGGGAGTAGGCGAGAAGGAAGAGGCGGAGAAGGATGAGGGAGAGGCGAGAGGGAGATGGGATGGGACGAGGGAGAGGGAGGGGTGAGAGGGAGATGGTGATGAGCGAGAGGGAGAGTGGAGAGGGAGAGGGAAGGGAGAGGAGAGTCGAGAGGAGAGACGGAGACAGAGAGCAATCCGAGAGAGGGAGAAAGAGAAAATGCAAAATAGAAAAGGTGAGGAGGAGAGGAGAGAGACAGAAAGAAAAGAGACGAGAAAGGGTGGACAGAAGCAAAAGAGAGAGAAAATAAAAAGGAATGAAAAGAGAGAAGGCAAGAAAGAGAGTATGCAAGGAAAAGAGAGGTGACAAGGTGAGGAGAGAAAGAGAAAAGAGAAGGAAGAAGAGATATACGAGAAGAGAGAAAAGTGAAAAGAGAAGGCAGAATGAGAGGAGGAAAAAAAAGAAAAAAGAATGAGAAAAAAGAGGAATGAGAGACGGAAAAAACTGAGAAGAACAGTGAGAGAAAGAAGTTAAGAACAATCCTAAAAAGACAGAGAAAGAATGAGAAAGGCAAAAAATAAAAGTGAAAGAGATGAGAGGTGAGGAGAAAAGGCAAAACAAAGGAAAGGAGATGAGGGAGAGGAGAAACCGAGGAATGGTGAAGAAGAGATGGCAAACGCCTGGTTTAATACAAGAGGACCTAAGGAGAAAGGGAAAGAGAAAGAGGTAAAAACGATAGAGAGAGAAAAGGAGACAAGGAGCAAAAGAGAATAAGAGGAGAAATAGAGAGAGAGGAGTAAGAGAACAGGAGCAAAGAGACATGGGGAAAAAGAGAAAGGGATTGAGAGAGAGAGAGAGAGAGAAAGGGATTGAGAGAGAGAGAGAGAGAGAGAGAGAGAGAGAGAGAGAGAGAGAGAGAGAGAGAGAGAGAGAGAGAGAGAGAGAGAGAGAGAGAGAGAGAGAGAGAGCAAAACAGAGTGTTCTGGAACAGCGGCTCCATGAGTGGCAAATTAGCAAGCGGAGAGTGCCAGCCTGCAGCCATAATCAATGAATTACCATAAAACAAATTACCTGTTCTGATTGCGTCCTCTACCTGCGTGGACTCATTATTGCTGAGGAAGAGTTTCACCGTGGTCTTGGTGCCGCTGTTGTCATTGGTTGTGAGTCTCTTGAAGTTCCTCTGTATGGTAAACACACCACCGTTCTGCAGGTCAACCTTACCCCCTTCCCAGCTGTTCAGGGTGGTCTTTATGCTCCCACTCAGCTGAAATAAAAATTAATTGATTTTTCAGCTAAATCATTCATTACATTAAACAAGCAACGACAACAACAACAACAAATAAATGTATACATAAAAAGATTCTTGAGGATGGTCTTTATGCTCCCACTCAAGCTGAAATAAAAATCAATCAATCATTCCACTAAATAATTCATCAGATTATATAAGCAACAACAACAACAAATCAAAAAGATAATAAATAAAGAGAAGACATAAAAATAATCTAACTTTCATTTGGGGGTTTTACATTCTGGTAGAGTGAATACCTACATCGTAATTATGTTTGTCTTTTCCCTCTTTGTCCCTTGGTATGTTACACCTATACATTACACCTGAAATCTTATTTCATGACACTGCAATGTTGAAGTTGCTTCATTCTGATGTAAAACGGACTGAAACAAAACCACACAAAACACAACACACACACACACACACACACACACACACACACACACACACACGAAACAAACACAAACACACACACACACACACACACACACACACACACACACACACACACACACACACACACACACACACACACACACACACACACACACACACACACCACACACACACACACACACACACACACACACACACACACACACACACACACACACACACAACACACTAAAACCTGTAAAGTACTGTTTCACCATGACTCCTCAAGCAAAATCAGTAAACATCTTCACAAACTCTTTCTATCATCACATGAGCGTCTTGATTCTACACAAAGCTGCCGAGTCACTCTGATACAAGGCAGACCCAACACAATGACATCCCTGAATTGTGCAGCTGTTATCAGATGTTAGATAAACGATGGTGTATCAAAAGAACATTTACAAAAAAATAAAGCATCTGGTATCAATTTTAACGTATGCTTGTTAATTAATATCAAGGAGCTGCCAAGACATGGAAATTAAATCTATCACTGAACAGTAAATTAAAACTGTAAATCTGATAAACCAAAAATCAAAATGATCAATGAAAGTTAATTTCATTCAACAGTCTCTCACCCATGTACGCACGAACAAACGCACGCATGCACACTAAATAATAATAATAGAAACTAGAAGTACTCAGGGAGAACATACCTCCCCCAAGGCATTAAGGTCACTGATGGAATAAAAATATTCACATTTAAAGAATTACATTAAAATCACCTTTCCCGAGCACGCAGGTGACGTCCATTCACATAACCTCCTTGGCAGAGGCAAGGCAATACGAGCAATCATTCAAAATATTCATGGATCCAGATTACCATCAAAATTTAATGAAACCTAAGTTAGGCTAAAACACACTGCTGAAAAAAGTTCATAAAACTCTGTACATAAATTTTTGAGCTATCCTGCTAACAATCAAACAAATAACATCCAAATTGCCACTGAAATTTAATGGCATCTAAGTTAGGCTAAGAGACACCTCTTGTAAAAATTTAAGAAAAATCTATTTGTACTTTTTGAGTTATCCTGCTGACCACTGAACAAACAAACTAACGCAACTAGACACATAACCTCCTTGGCGTTGGCGGTGGCAGTGGCGGTGACATCAATAACAATAATAATAATAACAACAACAACAACAATAATAACAATAATAACAATAATAATAATAATAATAATAATGATAATAATTACAATAACAACAACAATAATAACAATAATAATAATAATAACAAAAGTAATAATAACAATAATAAACAAACCTACTATACTTTCCACCGAGCTTACAATCATACTGTAGCACAGTAAGAAAACATTTATTTCACAAGAGTGCCAAGTCACTGTGATAATCTGCGTGACTCTCCTCCCACACTAAAGGCTGGTCGATTTGGTGTGCCACCCTAAAGGCAAACATCTGCAGTGGCCTGCTCCTGTGCTAAATGACCTGGGATGTCAGGCACCTTCCTTATACCCCTTTTCAAAATTGCATGTGTGGCATGTGTGTTGCATGTGTGTGTGTGTGTGTGTGTGTATGCCTGTGTGTGTGTGTTGTGTGTGTGTGTGTGTGTGTTGTGTGTGTGTGTGTGTGTGTGTGTGTTGTGTGTGTGTGTGTCGTGTGTGTGTGTGTGTGTTGTGTGTGTGTGTGTGTGTGTGTGTGTGTGTGTGTGTGTGAGTGTGTGTGTGTGTGTGTGGTGTGTGTGTGTGTCTGTGTGTGTGTGTGTGTGTGTGTGTGTGTGTGTGTGTGTGTGTGTGTGTGTGTGTGTGTGTGTGTGTGTGTGTGTGTGTGTGTGTGTTGTGTGTGTGCGTGTGTGTGTGTGTGTACGTGTCTGTGTGCGTGTGTGTGTGTGTGTGTGTGTGTTTGTACGTGTCTGTATGTGTGTGTGGTGGGGTTTGCATGTGTGCATAAATGCACCTTTGCTCACATTCCCTATATATCTATATTGAACACACACAACTGCAAATACCAGTGCAAACTGCTCACATAAGAAAGTATATAAAAATGAAGTTAAGAAATTGTAACAACCAACAATCTAGTCACA